GGCTCAGAAATGGAAGCCCTGGGATACCTTTTGCTGTTATCCCACTCTTTCCAACTGCATTGCTTTCCAGTGGGCCTGTGCCCATGCTAGACAGGTCAGATGTTAAAGCCATAAGAAACCTTAGATTAAGCTCACAACCAGCATCTCTTCTACCACCAGTTCCAAAGTCATCTGGAACAAGATTCAGAAGATCAGTGGGAAGTATGCTTCTCTTTCCATCTTGCTCTCCAAGGGCTGGGAAGTTGCTAATGTACAGAGCATCACCGATACTCTTGGAGAGTGCTTTTCTTATATCTCTTGCACTTCTGTTTCTTCCCCTACCTTCTTGGCCATCAAATCTCGGCCAAAGCGATCACCTGTTTCATTTCAGGCTGATCGTCTCTATGATTATAATCGCTCTTTTACACTGGTGGAACTTAAGCTTGCTCTTCATTGGTCTGGCAGTACCACGGACAGGCCCGGGGACAATGTTTTTTCCTGATGCATGGCACAAGGCTATTGTTCTGTTCTTTTCAAAGCATGGGAAGGATCCCAAAATTCCTTCTTATTATCATCCTGTTGCTTTGACTAGCTGAGTCTGTATAGTTTTAAGAGGATGGTTAATGCTCGTCTTGTTTGGTTCCTTGAGTCAAACAACCTCTTCTCACCCATCCAGTGTGGGTTCCGTTGGGGAGGCTTACGACACTACATGGAGGTTTGGCCTTTTGCGGAACCTCCATTCATATGGGTTGCATGTCTATTTACCCATTTTTTGAGTAACTTTTTACTTGACAGGCAATTCTAAATCTGTGTGGGTTTCGACCGTTCCCATTCTTTCCCACAGGAACTTTGAGTCCTTCAAGGTTGTCTTGAGTGTCACTCTTTTCAGTATCAAGATCAATGCTATCACTGAACAACTTCCTCCTACTGTTGCAAATGGCCTCTATGTTGATGATTTTATATTTCTTGTCGGTCATCAAGCATGAGATTTATTGAGCGGCAGTTTCAGACTGCCCTCACTCACTTGTTGAAGTGAACCACAGCAAACAGTTTTTACCTTTTCTTTCTTTAAAACAATTGCTGAGTCCAATGATCGACCCATCCTGCCTTGGCTTGTTACCATCCTCACCTGTGACATTTCCTTGAGTCATCTGAGAAAGGCAGATACTCCCAATTGGAAGTATCATCTTCTCTTTGCCAAACATCTTTCAAACTGTTCTTCTGTTCCCATTTTCATGGATGGTTCTAAATCAAGGTTCTGCCATGGTTTGTTGAGGCTTGGGGATTGCTAGCAGGATCCTCTTTACAATTTCTGTGTTCAGTGTCAAGTTGTATGCCATTTCTCTTGCCTTGGATCATGTAGAAGCTAAGCAGTACACTGACTGTGCTATTTACATCAACTCTTTTTAGCTGTCTACTGGCCCTGGAGTTCCTTAACGTTAGTTCTCACCCTGTTCTTGTTGATATTTAAGAACAACTGGCCCATTTTTCTCTATCTTTCATTTCTATCCAGTTTTTATGGATACCTTGCTATGTTGGTATTCGTGGGAAGGAGCTTGCTGACACTGCAGCTAAGTCGTCTTTTCTGATGCAGTCACAGCTGTGCCTGTCCCATATATATGGGCTACAGTCCTGTGTTCAAGGCTTGACTTCATGCCAGTTGGCAGTCATTTTGGTGTAAGAAATGTCATAACAAGCTTTTCCAGATAAAACCTTTTGTTGTTCTGTGGCTGTCTTGTTTCTTTAAGGATTGGAAGGAGGAAGTTGTCCTGGCTAGGCTACACATTAGTCACATTGATCCACCAATGTGTTGCCTTTGTGATACTTAAGTCACAATAGCCCACATTATACTGTCGTTCCATCATTATGACTATGAGTGACAGCACCATTTTCAACATGTAATTTTACAGGTTTACCCCTGAAGTTGAATGGTGTCATTGGTGACGGTGACATTATACGACTTGATTGTGTTTTTCAATTTTTACAGGCCATTGGCCTTTTTTATTTTATTTAAGTTTTTACATGTTTTGGGGCATTGTGTGTTTTTTAGGTTGTTTTCTTTTTAGTTTTTGTAGTATTTTATTATATTATTTTTTACTGGTTATTTGGCACAGAGTCCTGTAGTTTTGTGTCAGTAAGTCCCAAACAACCAACCATTTTAAACAAATGATCTAACATGTTTGGCGTAGTGCCATAGAAACATTGGGTGACATGACACAAAGTAAACAACATTTAATTCCAAGTTTCTTTAGGTGCTCCACTGCTCAGTCTACCCATGATCCTGACCCAAAAAGACAGACTAACATGACCCAGAAATAAAGTCAGCTACCACTAACTCTATAAACAAGGTGAAGACAGACCTTCAAAAATATTTATGCACAAAGAAGCTGTGCCACGTTTTAAACTAAAAAATGAAAAATAATTAATATCTCAGTTGCCAAATGATCTGTAAGCTGGGTGCTCTTGCTGCAAGTCAGCATAGTCAGCTATGCATGGAAAAATAACTAGAAAAATAAGAAGTAGCTAGCTGGCAACCAGTAACAGCAGCCTACTGCTTGGCACAAATGTAAGCTAACCAGTAGGATTGAGGTGCTGTAATCAAACTGATGTTACAACTTGTAGTGTTTATTAGTGAAGCTATTTTGCATCATATAGGTTGTTTCTTGCAGCTTTGTTATAGTATGAAACAAATACTTAAATTCAAAGTAAAATTTCTATAAAAAATAAAGCATGGTTTTCACTAAAATATCCATGGAGTCTTCCACCTTGAATGATTTTTTTTATAATTCACCTCAACAGTTTTCTGGTGGTTTCTCAGGGCCAAGCAACCTAGGCATTAATGAGCTTGCCTAAAGAATAGCACATTTTCTGATTGTTGAGAATCCTGTAGATAAACAATTTTGCCTCAATTTCAGAAGGCTATCTGAAAACTTTGCTGGCTTCTACATTTCTAGAAGTTTTTGGAGCCCTGGGTGCAGAAATGAGTAACATTTGGGGGACAGGCCCTGAACTATCTTGGCAATTAAATATTGTTGGAATGGATAGGATATGACTTTGGGAAGGATAGTGACATCCATTAAATATTTTGCAAGGTTTACTGATCCCAAGATAATTTAGCCAGAGAACGTATCAAGACAATGGCCCTCTCTTATAGTGTGGCCTACATATCTGGTACAAAAAATGTAAAGCATACCATGAGTGCAATGCACACCAAAGCTCCTCAGTTTCAGTTGAAAAACTTTGTAGGTTGTTTACTGGCCAGAAGTCATAATCCAAGAGGTTGTTTCAGTGATGCTTACTTGCTGACTGACTGACATTCAGCAATGCCTTCTGATAAGCACATTCAGAAGTTACTAGGAATGTGAAAGCAGCAGTGACTTGTTTAATTTGTTACAGGGCATGATGTAATCATAATATCTGTGAAAAACTATTTTAAAATAAAAAGCTGTAAATAATTCAAGGATAAACTTTTAAAAGGGTACCAAGCTATACATAGTTTTCCATATGTAAGTAATTCCCATGATCCTCACTTCTGGTCCCCATATTGTATGGCAAGCCTTGATAAGTAGATGAGCAGTAGATACCAAAGATAAAAATTGGTTATTTTCTCAGTAACATTATGAATAAATTGAATAGCTGCAAAGAAAGTGTCAATACACAATATTGGGATACATTAGATGATGTATGTAAAGTGAGATATTTGGATAAATTTAATGTAATACAATAAAGATCCATAAGAGATCGAGAAACAAGACTGGGGGAACTCATTTGTATGTGTACGTGTTTTTTTTATTTCAAACCTCAACACATACAATGTACACTTACAATTTGAAAATGTACAAATCATAAAGTTAAAATAAGCTCTAACTGCATGCTACTTACTGCTAATAAAATGGTCTGTCTGAACACATTTTGTTGTGAAGTTTGCTCGGATCCATGTTAAATCCTTCACGATTTATTCTCGCAAGCCATAATACGTTCCTTTCTGTGGACAACTTTTTCAATCTATTGTTCTTGATGGTTAATAACTTGTGGAATGTCATAAAATCATCCTATAATATCTCCACTATCACAATTTGCACCATTGCCACAGAATACAAATTGATAAAAAATCTTATGTTTATTTTCTTTGCACGGTTGAATGAAACGTTGAAAAGCTTGCTGCACAAGTTGGCATTATGGGTAATATTGTGGTGTCGTAGGAAAACTATCTATTCATAATGGCACCAAGGGAACTGAAATTTCAGAGTCTGAGACCATTTATGACTTCAGAGATTTATTTCACAATTTAACACCCTGGAATATATTCAACATTTAGTGCCTAGCTACTGCACTGTGTATGATTTATTTGGCAAGGTGCATGACACACTTCAGAAGTATATTCACAAGACACATGAAGAAACCTTAGAGAAGGGCTGGCGAACCCATGGCATGTGAGAATATGTTCTTGGCACACAGCATTCACTGCTGTCCCACATTTGTTTTTTAACCCAACCAATATATATATATATATATATATATGAAGCGTATATGGGCACAGGAAAGGACTTCTTCGAATGTTATCAACAATTTGGGCACACGCTCTCAAAAACTTTTGCCAGCCCTGCATTAGAGAGTAGTGTTACGACAGCGGAAGTCAAATGATCATGAATGAAAAGCCTGAGTTTGTTCGAGATGCCCTCTTTTCTAGTATATAAGCCCGGGGAAATGGAATTGTCTGGTTAAAATGAACAGTAGTCACGGTAAGTTATTGAGATTGTGAATCGCTGTGATTTATAGCGTGTATTATAAAAGTCATTAAGTTGAAAGTGACGGAAATACACTGACAGTGGAATTTCTGTGCACTAAAAGTTTGGATCGAGAAAGAATAAACTGGTTTAATCAAGAAAGGACTTGTATCGCTGAAGTTCCTCAGAAAGAATTTCTACCGGAAATTAACAAACAAGCAGATAAAAAATACTAGCTGTTAACTTTAATGGTTTAATCTGTGAAATTAATTGTGCTGTTTTCATATTTTCCAGAACAATATGATACTTTTGTGAAATTTACATATGACCAAATGCAAAGGAGATTGGAAGCTGAAACACCTAGTTGTAAGTACAGTTTTTTGGTTATTCACTTCTCCTTTATTCCTCTAAGGGTGATGAAATTCTTACCTAGGATCCCTTTTTTTTATTCATTTAAAAGAAAATACATAAGAATTATTCAAATGAAAGAAGGAGATTAAGATTTATTGGTACTTCTAATAATATTTGAATGTGGACCTTTCTGTGCATTTAACATTATGAAGAGATAATATAGTTTTAAAAAATTCATTAGAACAATATTGAAATATAAAAGAGCATTTTTTTTTTACATTTGGGCTTATATATTGTTGGTTTCTTCATTCTAATCACTTGTGTTGCCTGTCAATGAATAAAACAACCTAGTAAATTTCAGTTTTTTTTTATCCACTGCTTCATATTGTCAAAATTTAAGGGTGATGCAATAGGCAAATTGAATGTAGTTGAATAGTGAACAGAAGTAGTAGTTTTCATATTTATTTTTCACAGTGAGTACTTTTCATCAGTTTGTTATACAGAATTAACTTTACTAATTTCTTTTTTTTTTCTAGTTCTGATCTGTATAGTTGACTTTTAATTATATCTAGTGTAATTAATCCTGCTATGAACAATGTTGCAGAATTTTATTTGTTATCCAGTTTGTGAAATATGTATTGTCTATGAGATATTATTCATATTCCAGCAACAATTGCATTACCATGAGCCTGTTTTTAACTCTTTAAAAAGAAAATTGGTAATTTTTATATTTTAAAACACAATTTAAAGAAATTAACATAAATAACTGGTGATAGTAAAATGTAATACTTTGGTATCTCGAAATATTTTATAATATTTAAGGCTTGGCTTTTTTATTATTAATATTCGTTCCACTTATAAAAATACAATCATTGAGGAAATTGTAAATTATGATAGCAGAGATAAAGCACTTACTGAATTGTACTTTCACGTGATAAACTAATTTTGCCATAATTTTTTGTGATGTGTGTAGAATTCAATGAATTAGCCCCTCCTCCTATTGTTTTTTGGCTGCACTATTATTTCTATTTGATATATGAAACAAATTATGGTTTCCCCAGATTTTGTCAAATTAGTGATTTTCTTTAGTATTTTGACAACTGAAGTTGTTTTTATAAAAATCTATATATTTATATTATCCATCATTTTATTTCATTGTCTCTCAACTATACTGCAATTTCATATGACTTCCTTTACATTAATTTGAAAAACACAGGTTGAATTAACAAAGTTGAAAACTAATTTGAATATGTATTCCTGAGGCTATGACATATCTCTCTTTCTGAAGCATTGGAGTTATTTTGAAATTAAGCATGAGACTTGATTAGTGAATAAAAATTAGTTTTCATGGTATATAATGTATGTAGTAAGCTATACTTCGTAGATTTCTATATGAATAGTATTATTAACGGTTTGCTTAAAACTAAACATGAAAAGATTGAACTTGTATTGAAAACATCTTTCTCTAATTCTGTTGCATTATTTTGCTATTTTTAACATTCAAAACCTTAACAATTATTAACTTTTATCAAACATAATGCAAAATAGAAAATATAGTAACGATAAAAACTCATCAAATTAAAATAAATTTATTGTTGAACATGAAAGCATTTTGGGCAACAGCCTTTCCTTGAGTTTCCAGTGAGAATAAAACTTTTAATAGAAGATTTAGGTTGAAAGAAAAAAAGAGCAAGTAACCTGTGGCTCAAAGGCTTGAGAACAAATTCTTAAGCTACAAAAGAGCTATTGAAGTAACATACACAAAATAACAATAATAAGAAGAAACATACAGAAAATAACAATAACAATAATAGCTATTGAAGTAACATACACAAAATAACAATAAATTATTCATTGTGTGTGTATTTATTTATATATATATATATATATATAAAAGAAAGAAAGAGTAGAACATGAATACAAGCAACAGTGTAAGGACATGAATTCAATGAGAGAATGAAGTGTGCATCAAGTAATATTGTTCAAAAGGATGCAAAAGTAAAAGGTATGGGAACTTAATAGGGGTAAAAATGGACTGTGGAAAGAAATGACCAAACTACTTTTATATAACATGTTCAATATTTTTCAAGTAAGGAAACCTGCAGCATAGAATTGCTTAGCTACATTAAGGTCCACAATTTTATTGCACTGTTAGCTTCCAGAAATGGAGATACTATTCAACTTCCAAAACTAATACTAATGACTTAAACAAATAAATTAACTTTTCATTCTCAATCAAATTTTACTGTTATTTTGTAAATGATAGTTCCTACATCATTGAACTTGTACTTAATGCCTCACATTATTGCATGGCATTGATCTCCACAGGTTTCTTGGAAAAATTATGTAAGTTCATTTCTTGTAAATATCTGAAATTTATTGATGTTAATATGTTGGTTGTATTTTGAAGTAACAGTGTTCTTAAATTTTTTAAATTTAAATTAATGTTCATTTGACATGTGAAGATTCCCAATATTGACAAGTGGATTTTACAAGACAGATGTTTAACCTCACCATTTATCATTAGGTTCAGCTTAATTTTACATCTCAAAGTTTCTTGGAGGTAAACATAACATTGTACAAAAGGCCTATCAGTCTACATATGTATGTATAAATTTCAGTTGATGGTCGGAAATATTATGAGCAACTTGCTTTTATCTTTACAGACCTTTCGTAAGCTCCATAAAGTTAAGGTCATGGTGTTGTGATCCCAGCAAGAGTGGCTATGAAGTTCTTTTGAATGAAGTATGAACTGAACTAAGATGTCAAGACTGAGTAATATGTACAGCACATTCTGAAGAAAGATTTGATTGATGTGTGGGACATTGTGATATTCTTACCAACATCAGACTCGTCAAAGTCAGATGATTAAAATGCAGTATTTATCCTCTAATTGTCCTTTTTACATTAATACTGTATTTACATTGTGTGAATAGTAAAAATCAGCTTTAGGCCAGGCTGCCTTAAAGCTTTAAGAAACTAATAATGAACTCCATTTTGTTCTGGCTGGCATAACTATGGTAGCTGTAGGTATAATAGGTATAAATGTGTATGTTTATATAAATGGAGATCCAACTAAATATGTCAGGTTTGTTACACATGTACGAGTGCACTTCTCTAAAAAAATATTTCTTCAGTTTTAATCAATTAATGAACTTCATGCTACACAGAAAATGACCTAATTGTATTAAAGCCCAGAGCTTATATAATATATTAGTGACAAATACATTCAAAAGTAGGTATTTAGATGACAAACCAAATAACAGGTTTGTGGATTTCATTATGTAAAACAAAAAAGCAAATGTTTCAGTGAAATATTACAGTAAGTTTTCATTGCATAAAATTTAAAGTATCAGTCAGAGTTAGGAACTTGTCAGATTTTACTGCAAGTACTTGTAAAGCAAAAGATGTAATAGCTGATATATGAATGCACAGCAGTTAATTCATGTGACTGAAACAAGCTCTTAGATGGAACAAGAAGAACTGGTGTAATCTCAATACAGAAAAATTGTTGCTTAGTGTAACATCTATGTAGCAAACACCATGGGAACCAAGTATCATGTAGAGCACATGAACCCTATCCTTCACTTTTCACTTTAAATTATAATCTTCTAGTTAGGAAGCTAGAAAAATTGATGAATACTTGTGCTTCTTTGTTTTACTGTATGTAATATTTTCACTTTCAACTGTGTGTTTATGTAGTGCTTTTTACAACTTTGTATTAAGAATATGATCGTAATAAAGCTTTTCTTAAAATGAATTAACAAGAATAATGTTCTTATTTTTACACTGTTCTTAGTTGCTTACAAAATACTTTAATTAAAATCATTTTCTGGAAAATTGATTTATTAAATTGAACACAATATTTCTGTCAGTTAACAATAATTTTTTAATTGTCGTGGAATGTTCTTCTGAAATTAGTTTGGGATAAATGAACGATATATAAATTATAGTATAATAGATAAATGTCTGTTTATAACATCTATACCAGGATTTCTTGACATTTTGCACCCTAAGGTCCATTAATTATTTTGGATAACAGTAAAAACTCCCATATATATGCTGAAAGACTTGTTATCTTAGGCATATGCAATACCAAATCAGGAAGCTACAACTGTAGCTTCGGCTATTAGTGATTTCTTCTTCAGGTTTGGTATGCCATTTGAACTGCATTCAGATCAAGGCCGTAACTTTGAATTAGCTGTGTTCCACGAATACTGCAAGTTGTTTGGCATACGAAAGACCAGAACAATGCCACTTCACCCACAGTTTGATGGGATTGTAGAAAAGTACAACTGGACACTGAGACAGGAATTGGCAAAGTTTTGTAAT